TGCAAAACATGTGACTTCCTTCCCATCTTCTGTGTGGACTGCTCCAGCACATGTGTTTTAAAAGCCCAAAAAAACTGATCAAGCTGTCAAAAAATGGAGCCATGGACACACAGGTGACTAAAGAGAAGCATAGTTGGAAATCAGTTAGCATTCTGCAACCATTCCTTTCTTTCTTATAATATTAAACAGAGCTTGAATTAACAGTTGGGTGAAGAGAGAGATATGAAATCTGCTTGTGTGTGCATTGGATCTCCGGGTGTGCACACATGAGGAGAGAATTTTAAAAACTTCTGCCAGATGACCCTCCATCTTGATCTGCTTCAAAAGAAGTTGTGAAGATAGTAAGGAAGCATTTCCCAGGACTGACATGTATGGACTTGCTGTCAGGTCCTGGGACTTTTTTGGCCCAGTTTTTAAACCGGCATTTTGATGCTATTTGGAAGCACCATAGTTCAGTGTTCAAAACATTGCACTACACTAGCTCGCCTTGTCTAAAAGAATCCTATAAAATAGATAAGTGACTTTGAGGCAACACGTGAAAATGTGGGTAGGGAGTAAGAAAAGAGGAAGATTTCAAAACAGGTGGATAGATTCAGTCAAGAAAACCACAGCCCTGGGTTTGCAAGGCAAACAACATTTGATAAAAACAAATTAAAACACGATCCACCACTCACTTGACTGTCATCACGCCCTACTGACAACAACGGGGCTTAATTTTGAGTTAGCTAGAATTTAAAGATGAAGCAGTCCCACATTATTTCATCAAACAGTGACTGAATCAAAACAACAAGCTTAATTTCAAAGTTTATGGGATTACTGTTGATTCGCGTATTTTAAAATACTGTTTTAGTAAGAAACTTCTATAGGAGGAGAAAATATCTGTCAGATACCTACAATCTTCTGGGGAGAATCATCTCTCTGCCCTACCACCCGCTCAGGAACGTTTGGTGGGAACACGCAAGAGGGCCTTTTTAATGGTTCCTCCTCCAACACTTTGGGACTTCCTCCGAAGAGAGACCAGAATGACCCATGCTTGTTTGCCTTTTGCAAGCAGTTAAATACATTTCTGTGCCAGCAGGCGTTTGGAGGATGATGAGGAGCTTGCTGATGGGGAGATTGTTGGTTGAATTTTGGGGGGAGGTGGTAAGTTTTAATGTAATATTAATTGTATTAATTATATTTTAATTTTATTGTAACTTTATATCCACATACTAATATTGAATGGTTTTTAAATTTTAATTTAACGGCCCTCCAAGCAAGCATTCTGGCTACATGAACTTGGAGGCATCTAGGGACAATGCCAGGTCTTCAGCTTAGAAATGGAGATGACCACCACCCCCCAGAGTCAGATACCACTAGACAAAATGTCAGGGGAAACCTTTACCTTTGCTTTACTAATATTTGTATTTGCATTGTTTAAAATTGTCATTTGATTGTGTGGTTGTTAGCCACCTGGAGTCCCCATGGGAAGAAAGGTAAGGTATAAAGCTAACCAACATCATCAGTGAGTCCCCAGTGGTGCAGTGGGTTAAACTGCTGAGCTGCTGAACTTGCTGACCAAAAGGTCAGTGTTTCAAATCAGGGAGCGGGGTGAGCTCCCGCTGTTAGCCCCAGATTCTGCCAACATAGCTGTTTGAAAGCATGTAAATGTGAGTAGATCAATAGGTACCACTATGGTGGGAAGATAACAGTGCTCCATACAGTCATGCCGGCCACATGATCTTGGAGGTGTTTAAGGATAACTCTGGCTCTTTGGCTTAGAAATGGTGATGAGCACCACCACCCAGAGTTGGACATGACTAGACTTAATGTTGGGGAAAATCTTTACTTTTACTACTATCATCATCAGTTTTCTTTTCCTATTTAAGTAAGTTTAAAAGGAGAGAGAGTAAATATTGTATAATGTATACATCATAATACCAATTTCTGTGAAAAATGTTAAACCAACATTCAACACATGCAGACAGCGTTAGCAACAAGAAGCAGAACTGTTACTTTTAATTAGAAGAACAGTTTCCTTCTGACTTTCTTGGCACAAAATGTGCTTCCTTGTGTTCCACCTGTAACCAAACTAAAACCCAATGCGATATGTTTTTTTTTTCTTTCAAAAACTTCTCCACTTTACAAAACTCTTGAACAAAGTGGTCTGGGTTAAATTCTTTCTTGGCATTGCTCCAAGAACACAAAAATAATTTGACTCTGCATTTCTAAACAGGTAACCCACCCCACTCCCCATTTCTAATTTGCAATAAACTCAGTTTTCTATGCCATGTGCTGGAGTCCATAGCTTAGATATGTATATAAAACCGGACTTACTGTAGCAGAATTTGGCTGCTATAGGAAACTGTTACTGAATTCCTAGAAAGTATGGTAGAGAAGGGAGCACAGCTTTGGGGGCTGGGAGGAGATTGAGTTTCTACTTTGGGCCCTATTACAGTAGAGTGTTATATAACTATATTCCGCTTTAACTGCCTTGCCAACTTCTGTATGGAATTCTAAACTCTGCCTTTTAAGGAGAGGCATTTGGAAGTTTCAGTCAGAACAGTATTGGGTCTCACTAAACTATATATCCCAGAATTCATGGAATGTTGGCATGGCAGTTAAAGTGCAATATAATGATATAACACCATAGATATAGGTGGGGCCTTGAATTGTTCCTTGTTGGAGGAATAAGTTTTCATTCACGGTCCAATGATGGAGTCCCAAATTTAATCCTGAAGAGTGTTGAAATTAGGATATGATGTCCTTCAAGGAATGCCACTACTGGGCTCTTCTGCACCCCAAAACCTCACACAAATTGACAGTCATTAAATCAGGCTCCCCATACCCTTCTAAATCCCATAGTGATATCTCAACAACACAAAGCTGGCAGAAAGGGTTGGCTCAGCAGCTGGAGAAAGTAACTCTTTTGGATTACAATTCCCCAAGTCCATAACCAGTATAAAAAATAAGGTTTCCATGCTCTAGTTCAGGCATAGGCAAACTTTGGGCCTCTTGGTGTTTTGGACTTCAACTCCCACAATTCCTAACAGCCTCAGGCTCCTTTCTTTCTTTCCTTTCCACTTGGGTGGCTGAGGGGTATTAAGGGGCCCGAGGCTGTTACGAATTGTGGGAGCTGAAGTCCAAAACATCTAGAGGGCCAAAGTTTGCCCATGTCTGCACTGGTTCATAGCTCCCCATAACCTGAATACTCAGACCTCTTTTGATATATTCTCCATAATATTAGATGGGAAGAGGTCGTGTAATTTTTTTGGTGATATTATACTTATTGTTATTTATATTCATTTGCTTTACAATACAAATCCTAAGGAGAGATGCATGAATAGTGTACCAAAGGCCCAGTACTGCGGAAAGGTGCTGAGGAACAGCAGCCCCTGACATTACTATGCCAAACAGAGTTCTGCCAGTTTGTGCCCACAAAAACTAGGTCAATCTGTGTAGTTACACAGAATAAACTTCCAACAACTCTTCCCAAATCTCATTGTGGGGTGAATCTACCATACTGCTGCAAGAGCAAGAAGAGGGCACGGCTGTCCTTGCTTCCAACTATTCTCTTTGCCTCTGTCTCTACTCAACTGTGGGGCAAACAGAGCCAGCAATTGCCTTCTTTATTTGCCTGCTCAGTTTCTCTCTCTTTCTCTGGGAGGGGCACAGGGAAGACTGACCCTAGACACAGTGGCCATCCATTCTTCCCATGCATTTGCCCAAAAGTCAGTCCCAAAGTACTGGGTGGCCTTCACCAACTTGAGGCTAGAAGTTTGAGGATCAAAGTCCCAAAGAACTAGCGAGCCAAAGGTTGAGCAGCCAGACCCAATCTCCACTACCAAAGTGCTCAACAAAGGTCCACAGGGCAGAGAGTGGGCTGACTGTCAAAAAATGAAGCAGGGATCTCAAAATTCTCACTTCTTTCTCTCACTTGTAAGTGCAGGTAAATCGTAGTGGAATGAAGCCAACTCTGAGAAATGCCCAAAGATTAGACCAAATCACACTGATTCAAAAGAAAGCAAAGGGAAAAGCAGGAAGAGCCTCTGGAGAATAGCTGACATCAGTGACTCAATCTTTCCTGCCATAATAAAACGGGGAACAAGGATGACTCCTGGGTTGTTGTAGGTTTTTCAGGCATTAGGGCCATGTTCTAGAAGCATTCTCTCCTGACGTTTCACCTGCATCTATGGCAGCCATAGATGCAGGCAAAACGTCAGGAGAGAATGCTCCTAGAACATGGGCATACAGCCCAAAAAACCTACAACACCCCAGTGATTCTGGCCATGAAAGCCTTCAACACTCCAGAATTACTCCTGGCTGCTTCACTCACTCGCTTGAGGCAACTAGGCAAACAGGTTCCTTTGTGAATTCCAGTTCTTATTCTCCAGTTCTGAACAGTATGGCTGGGTAAGTGGTTATGATGGTGGTCCCTTCGTCTCACTAGGCAGATCTCTCATTGGCTCTTTGGGTTGCAAAGACTGGGCTTGGAAGAGTCATCAAGCTCGGGTTGTTATATGGTGCTCCCCACTCCCCTTCTCTCTCCCTCCCTCCAACAGGACAAAGTGGCAATGAGTGGGTCCCTGGACTAAGCCTGTTGCCCCTTGGTTCCCCTGAGAGAGCCACCTGTTTGAGCAAGTTAGCATTAGTGGCCCCTTGAGTTCTCCCCCTTCTTGCCTCCTTGTGACCCACAGAAGGAAGGAATGCGTGGGGTCGGGGCAAGTGATGGTGGGAAGAGCTGCAGGGGAGCGTGGAAGGGAGAAGGCTGGGGGGCTGGACGAGCCCTTCCCTCCTTAGGCATCTTGCAGAGGAGCTCGCTTCTCTCTCCTTCTCCCCCTCTAGCATATAGGGCCAAAACCGGACTGAGGCTTTCGCTGGTTGCGCTTCATTCTACCTAAAGGCTCTCCCCGCTTTCCCAAGGCAGACGTCTATTTAAAGCGAGTCCCACCCGCGGGGAAAGGCACCAGCCAGACAGCCTGGCATCAGCCTTGGGGTGGAGGGAGGGGGAGACTACTAACCGGTGGTGGGCACATCGGGAACCAGCTTGAGGGGCCCGATCTGTCGGATCTGAAAGGCCGTCCTCACTTCGTGGCAGCTGGGGTTCTTGAGTCCCGAGACGCCGTTGAGTCCAGCCGCAGCCACGAGTAGCCAGAGCCCGAAGCGCCGCCAACAGCAGAAAACCCCCGGGCTCCTGTCACCGGCCATTTCCACATGCCCCGCCGGGGACAGAAAGCAGCCAGGGGCGCCCGGAAGCAAGAGCTCGCTCTCTCCCCTCCCTCTGGCAGGCTCTCACGCCGAAACGGGTGGCAGCGGCGCTCTGCGGGAGACAACTTTCTCCGGGCAAACTTGGGAAGAGGAAGAAGGGAGGGAGAGTCCCGCTGGGACGCCGCCTTGCCCCGTCTGACGTTCCAGCCTGAGAATGCGGCTGCCGCTCTGCCGGAGCTTTGCCGGGCTCTTCAGCGCTCCGGACGCGTGCCTCTTCCCCGCTTCGCCTTCCTCCTTCCTTTCCTCCCTTCCTTCCTTCCCTTCCTTCTTTCCTCGCAGCTCCGCTCCCAGCGCCAAACTGCGCTGCCTCCAATGAGCGCGCCCGGCGGGAGGGGGCTGTGGTCCTGCCGCCCAGCCCTCCTTGGACCAGAGGGTCTGCCAGGGGAGCGGTCGCCACGCTCATTGGCTCCGGCTATAATTAGACTTCTTGACATGTTTTCTTCTTCTTCTTCTTCTTCTTCTTCTTCTTCTTCTTCTAATGATGTCGAGGAAATCTCCTTCAAGCTCTCCTCCCACGGCAGAGATCGGGACGAAGAATCATAGACTTGGAAGAGACCTCATGGGCCATCCAGTCCAACCCCCTGCCAAGAAGCAGGAAAATTGCATTCAAAGCACTCCCAACAGATGGCCATCCGGCCTCAGTTTAAAAGCTTCCAAAGAAGGAGCCTCCACCACACTCCGGGGCAGAGAGTTCCACTGCTGAACGGCTCTCACAGTCAGGAAGTTCTCCCTTGTAGTTTGAAGCCATTGTTCCGCATCCTAGTCTTCAGGGCAGCAGAAATCAAGCTTGCTCCCTCCTCCCTATGACTTGCCCTCACGTATTTAGACATGGCCCTCATCATGTCTCCTCTCAGCCTTCTCTTCTTCAGGCTAAACATGCCCAGCTCTTTAAACCTCTCCTCACAGGGCTCGTTCTCCAGACCCTTGATCATTTTAGTCGCCCTCCTCTGTGGTGCCCAGAATTGGACACAAATTGTGCCTCCTGTGTCCTGTGTCATTAAAACGTTATAAATGAACATATAACAGCAGAAGTTGCGAGAGATCATAGCCTGAACTATTCTCTACACCAGGCATCCTCAAACTGTGACCCTCCAGTTGTTTGGGACTCCAACTCCCAGAAGCCCTAACGAACTTGGGTTGTTGTAGGTTTTTTGGGCTATATGGCCATGTTCTTCAAGCATTCTCTCCTGATGTTTCGCCTGCATCTATGGCAAGCATCCTCAGAGGTTGCAAGACCTCACAACCTCTGAGGATGCCTGCAATAGATGTAGGTGAAATGCCAGCAGATAATGCTTCTGGGACATGGCCATACTTACAACAAAAAACTTACAACAACCCAGTCATTCTGACCATGAAAACATTTGACAATACAGAATTTTTTAAGTTATATGATTTAAAAACTACACGTAACCTACTACAACTACAAACACTACAACTAAAGGCAGTCCTCAAGTTACAAGCAAGATTCTGCAGGATTGTTCTTAACTTGATTTTGTTTCTAAGTCAGAACAGGCACATTTTTAATTGTAACTCTAGCAATCCATCTATATATCTAAGTAAAATCTGACTTGTATGGAAACAAGGATTGGAAACCCCTTTCCCCCACCATAACTTTTTCAGGAGCGAATTTCCCTTCCTAGTGATATTTTTTCTCACTTTCGATGATCTCATCCCTGTTCTCAACTGTGAGTCATTTGTAAGTCAAATGTTTGCAACCTGGGGAATGGAAAACACTTGAATAAATGTCACACATACGTGCTAAAGTGTGTGTGTGTGTGTGTGTGTAGTCTAACAGCATTATATTCTCTGCCTGGTGTTTTTATTTTCTCAGTTCCCCGCACTCATTAAAAGAAGAAAAACCATTAATACTTCCTTTTCTTTCTCTTTAAATTCAAAAAGCCAACAACAGATGAATGACTCCATCTTTGCTGAAGAAATGAATTAAACACGCCTCGATTTTTCTTCAAATTGGTTAGAGATTTCTCCTTCATCAACATTGTGAGTTTGTCCATTTTTGCTAGTCAAACTCTTGTGCCGGAAGGACTGCTGATCAAAAAGTCAATGGTTTGAATCCTGGGAGCAGGGAGAGCTCCTGTCTGTCAGCTCCAGCTTTTCATGCAGGAACATGAGAGAAGCCTCCCACAGGATGGTAACACATTCGGGCATCCCCTGGGCAACGTCCCTGCAGACGGACAATTCTCACACATCAGAAGCGACTTGCAGTTTCTTAAGTCACTTCTGACATGAAGAAAAATGCAAAAACAAAAACACATACATTTTCATAAGCCAATTTTCTTATGTTGTGGTAGTTGAGTTTTTTCCATCTTTGAACAATCAACTTTTTCTTTAAAAAAAATAATAATCCCGAATCCAAACAGGGTGCTGGGCTTTGTAAAATTCCGTTCACAGGGTGATGGGTTTGTCAGTACTTTTTATTTTAAAAAAATACCACCTAAACTGGGCATTTCTTCACAGTAGTTTGATTTGCAAACAAATACTCATCACTTATTATGGACTGAAGGCAACTAGCAAACATGGTGTTTATAATGCACCACACCATGGTTCTCAACCTGTGGGTCCCCAGATGTTTTGGCCTTCAACTCCCAGAAATCATAACAGCTGGTAAAGTGGCTGGGATTTCTGGGAGATGTAGGCCAAAAGACCTGGGGACCCACAAGTTGAGAGCCACTGCACTACCCAAATGCATGCAAGAATGTGAATTAGAAAACTTAAACTGGGATAAGTAAAAATGGGAGGCTACTCCAAAATAGGGTCTGCATCAGTGCGTAGGTGTAAATCAGATTGCATGGTGAAACTGATTAAAGAACGGGGCAATTCACACATGCATATCCTGGGGTGTATGAAAAAACCCACAGATCCTCTACAGCTATGAGACCACTGTTACTTGCAGATCCTGGTACCGAGTGGGAGCCAGCTTCTCCAATGCATATAAGTACTTCCATTTGCATCCCACATTAAGCTAACATTATTGGTAGACTGAAAAAAATGCCACCCGAGGTATCAAAATCACAGGTCCCTGAAGAACAAAAACGTGAAAAGGCAAGATCTAAATCAATATATACTTATTTATAAAAACATTTTTGCATTAATTCCCAAGCAAGGCATTGTAGTAATAAAACCATGTACTTAATCTACTGGAAAGCCAGGTTGCAAGAGGTGGAGTGGGGAATGAACTATGCTGCTAAATGAATTACCCTACCAAAGGGCATGACTGATTTCTGATATTCTGTCTGAAAGCACTCCTTGCTACAAAAATTCATTGCATGTTCACTTGCTCAAGATTAAGATGTAATTTTTCCTCCCACAATCCAATTTAGCTTTGTTCATTCTAAGCCATATTTATTCCAGCTGATGCTTTATATTATAAATCCTATTGGTTGTGGCTTCTGTTTTACATCTAAGAACAACAATGCTAGGTAAAGGAAGCTGTGTTTTCCTAAACCATTAGACTACTGCAACATGCTTTATGTGGGGTTGCCTTTGAAGACTGCTCGGAAGCTTCAAGTAATCCGACGGGCGGCTGCCAATCTGCTACTGATCAGAATTCAAAGTGCTGGCTTTACACTATAAAGCCCTAAACTATTCTGGTTCAGCTTACCTGTCCAAATGCATTTCCCTTTATGAGACAGCTAGAACATTAAGATCTGCCAGGGAGGTCCTGCTCTTCGTCCCACTGCCTTCGCAGGTGCAATTGGCAGGGATGAGAAACAGGGCCTTCTTGGTGGTGGCTCCTCAACTGTGGAACTCCCTCTCCATTGAGATTGGCCCCCTCCCTCCTAGCATTTAGGAAACAACTTAAGACTTGGTTCTTCAAGAAAGCATTCAGTGAATGACAGGAATACAGAAACATGGAAGTAGTTAAAGATAACCTTGGGATCAATGTTTTATGTTGTGTTTGTGATTGCTGTTAATAGTTTTATCATTTTAATGGTTTTAATCTCTTGTTATATTTAGTTGATTTGAAATGTGATGTTTTATATGTGTAAGGCATTGAATTTCGCCATTGATTATGTTGTCAACTACTTTGAATCTCCCTAGGAGTGAGAAAAGTGGTATGCAAATGTAATAAATAAATAAATAAATAAATAAAAGAAAAATAAACAAATTAATTACTAATGACAAAAGTATAAGCAGCTATTTAACTAACTCAACCGTAAAACCTTCAAATACCAAACTGTAGTCCATCTTTGATCCACATGCCTTAGACCACTGGTTCTCAACCTTTGGTCATCCTGTTGTTTTGGACTTCAACTCCCAGAAATCCCAGAATCTTACCAGTGGTTAGGAACTGTGGAAACTGAAGTCCAAAACACCTAGAGGACCAAAGGTTGGGAACCACTACTGAGAGCAAGGCAATACGAAACCTCATCTGAAAAATTTAAAAAGCCAGGAATTTTAGGATAGAGTCACCAAGTGTTGAACTTGAAGGCACATAATCACAAAGGGAGTGGGAATGGCTTGCTATCAGGCTACTTGGTGCAGACATGGTCCACATATATACAAAGGAAAGAGGTTCCTTGGCATCACATAGATCATTGCTCTATGTATTATTTATTAGTTGACTCAGTTTTGGGGAAGATAGCTCTTACATACCTCACATATAAACCCACTTTCCTAGTTCCAATAGACCTCACTACCTCCAAGGATGATTGCCATAGAAGCAGGCGAAACGTCAGGAGAAAATGCCTCTAGAACATGGCCATATAGCCCAAAAAAACCTACAACAACCCATGGGATGTATGTCCTGACCATGAGAACAGGAGTCAGATAACCATACTGTCACAGCACCATGGTTGTCTCAAGCTCTTTAAGGCCTAAATCCAGAGTTAAGTCCCAAGTAAAATTACTAAGAACTTATTTGGACTATTAACTTTACATCGCATAAATTCCCTGTGGGATTTTGGCCTTGGTTTTGAGGCACAAAATCCAGATGGTATTCCAACACTGAAAAAATTAACACGTGGAGCAAGATCTTCCACATTTCTTGCACTGTGCAAATTACATGTCAGTGTAGTTACATTGAGGACTTTATCACATGAACCTGCTGTATCATAACATTCAAATTAGTGTAGATAATGGATATATATTGAATGGAGAATTTTCAATATCACAACTCTCTTCATTAGCACTATTGCACTGGTTCACTAATCTGTGGTCCTGTGATCAGTGTCTGCACATGCCCAAATAACACCACTTTCATGTAATATTCCCCTGCCAGCATAACTTGCAGTTCATTTTTAAATGTTTTAACATGATTGCACAATTATATATATATATACACACACACACAAAGAACAAAACACCCTGGGAATATAGAGGGAGA